TTTAGAGGGAGTTTTTTAGGATTGGGCCGGGGTGGCTACCGCCACCTAGAATAGTTGCTACAAAAACTGAGAACTATACCATACCTCTAAAGGGTATATATAGGGACGACTGAAATAAAATCAGGTACGACGTGGTGCTTGACGAGTTGCTCACGATAATCGATTCCATTATACGGGCTTTCAGTCAAGGGATCATAGTCTTCATATTCGTTTACCATGTCGGAGGCGTGCTCGTAATATACAGGCTCCGTCGTTGTTTTTGGTGGCTTCGGCGTACGGAGTTTTTTTGGCTTCAGCGTCACCCATAGCTTATCCCGTGAATCCTCTGAAGTTGAAACTACAACGAGCCAAATAATAGTTAAAGACAAGCGTTTTGAGGATACGAGAGAGAGACGGCGTTTTTTCTGAGATGCAATCTTTCCTGTTAATCATCATAAATGTGTCTTATTGTGTTCTTCTCGCAGTTTTGAAATATTGAAAGGTTTGAAGTCAATTGAGTTAATCCTACAATTATATACACTATACACTCTCAAATCACATATTTTAAAGCCAACAAATACACAATAATGAATTTTCGGCCATGAAGTTTTCCACATTATCATGGCTTAAAAGCAAAGTCCTGCCTTTTTCAATCACTTTCAAGAGAACCTTACAGAGAGGCGATAAAAAATTTAAGGTACTTAAAATTACATCGTATCATTTTTCAAATAGACATGTAGGATAATTTAATGGGATTTACGAAGTATCGGTACAAACTGCATGGAAAGATGATCTTTCTGCATGTCATTTTTGAGAGGCATTGAATATACAACAAACGATATACCGTATCTTTCGAGAGGGGGGGGGGTTGTAATCATGCTAAGTGTTCAACAACTGCTCTATGATCGTTGTAGATCTAGATCCTACAAAAGTGATAAAATTAGGCTAAATTTTCAAAGTTTGAACTCTTTGTGAAAGTCACATATTTATACCTGTGTGTTAACGCACCTAACTAGGTTGAAGATATTTGTCCGCTGTTGAAATATTTAGGTGTTAAACCAATTAGGTTCGTACTGAATGTTCAACTGTAGAAAAAAAGGAGATAAAGATAGAACATATTTCGATGGCGTAAGTCCGCAATCGCATATCTCTTTTGCGGTGTCGGATAATCTCCGCCTCTGTGTTATTCTTTTAAAAGAGAAAAAATTGACATCATTCCTTGAAGTTTTGGCAGAATTTGCCTCGCTCAAAGAAGAAAAATCACGGCAGTTTTGAAGAATTGCCGTTGAGTAGTTTTCCGTTTAAAAAATAAAGTATGACAGGAAGTCTGCGACATCGCAAACCGAGTTATGTGATTGCCGACTTACACTGTCAATTCATACCTGGCTCCGTTGTTTTTATTTGTGTGTGTGTGGTGGTCGGATTGGTCCGTGCGGTCGAAGCATTCCAAACTATTAGTATACACAAAATACGGATACTATTATTCCTTATTTTGTGATTATTTATCATGAGGTTAAATTAAAGTACAATTTCTTGCTTCAAATCAAGCTGTGCCGATTAGATTTTTCAACAGTAAGCACATAAAATAATTTATTTCGATAATCCCTTGATAGAAAAATGCACTTTCAAGAAGAAAATATGACAATTCATCGGTTTTTCTTACATGTTAATAGGGATCAAAATGGAAAGTTTGCCGTCCCTTCCATTTATAAATTTTAGAGTTGAAAATATTGAAATATTTTTGGAGAAAAGAATGCACGTCAGCACATGATATTTTGGTTTTGACAGCGAGTTCAATAATGAATATTCGTACAAAGGTACAAAATTACTCTTAATTTGTTTATTTTTTGATGATGTGTATGATTCCATAAATCATTCCGTTCCACGGTGACTGTATACTTTTTTGCATCCATAAAATGGAGGTATGGTACTTCTCTTTTGATCTAGTCTTTGAATTATCAGCACGCACTTGTCGCAGAATTACCTTTATTTGAGTCAACTGAACAAGAAAAAACACGCGAATAAAATGATTTCGGATAGAGAAGTATAAACAAGCAAGTGTTTCCACTCCATTTTTGACTGATTTAAATGAAAGTAAAGAGCACGGAGACGTTCCAAAGTTTGTGAAAAGTTGATTGAAAACTTGATCTAAACCTGGATTACATTTTCTTTGTCAAACGTCTGCTGAGGACTGTATCAACTGCAGGCTTATCAAATAAGTTGCTGATAGGAATAATTGATAATCGAATACACTCATCACGCCTTTCATGTGGTTGAAGTGGATGACATTTTCTGCTTTCACATAAAA